TGTGCTCACTGAACAGATCTGGTATACTAAAGAGATGAATAGAATTTACTGGTGAGTGTATAGGTGAATGAAATAACGAGGTTTGAAATAATGTTAGAACATAAAATGTTGTCGCAGCATACTAATCAATTTGTGGGAAACAATATTGCAAAGGCTTAAACGCAGTTACACAGGTTTCTGGGGTTCCCACCCCCGACCCGCGTCCCAAAAAAACAAAAAAAAATGAAGCTCCTCCAGTAGGAAACGCTAAGCTTCTTCGTCGATGAAGTATTCAAGACATCGAACTGAATGTAAGAAATGTTGAGAGCACCGCATTATGTCAGGGCGTTATATAAACAAGTAAGTGGTAGGTAGCACTAATAAAAAACGACTGTCGTTTATTCAACACTAGAGGAATTCCGTCAAAAGGCAAGCTCTGCGATCACAAGGTAGTCGAAACTTACAGTGTTTGGTGGAAGCGAGCTGGATTCATTGACATGATACATGCATGTATCAACGTTTGCGTAAAAACATCACGCTGAAATATCAACTAATAAAAAGTTGTAATTGCTTATTTACTTCATATAGTGTGACCGAAGATTCTAACAATACTTAACACACTAGACTGCTTGGAAAATAGCGTCCGATTTCAACCCGTATATTCCAAGTGGCATATCTAGGCACAAAACAAACTTTTCTAGTTGATCAAATACCATGCTTCGCTGACAAGTGAACACGAGGTTGTTACCAAATATTTATTCTGCTAGCGTCTTCGTCTTCATCAGAGCCGATGGTTCGAGTCGATGGCCCACAGTTGCTCGTATTCCCGATGTGGCGCCTTCGTCTTTGTATCTAGTGCGACCTTACTAACAAAGCAAGGAGGGTATAACCTGTAACACCTGTAGGCTCGTTGATCGTCGACTGACTCCAGAGGGAGCCAGTAAATCTTCCATTTTTCCCTGTAGGGTGCAAGAGTAGCTCAGTGGATACTGCTCGCTCTAGTGACTCCTCGAGCATCATATCTTTTTCAAGGTTCTTTGTGAAGAACTCTGACCATCGGGTCGGTAGTACTCCTGCAGTACGTTTGATATCCCGAGGAATCCAGTCACTAAAGGCTATTGTCCGTCCGTTGTCATTCGTACGCATTACGTGTCCGGCCCACCTTATCTTCGACTGTTTGGCGTACAAAGCAGCACTTTTGACTTTTGATCGTTGACGCAGATCGGAGCTTCGGATCCCATCCCTTATTTGTGTGGAACGGGATTCTCCTAGCATCGTCCTTTCGACAGCGCGTTCGATAACGCTGAGTGATGTTTCATCCTGCTTTCGTAGCGACCAAGTTTCTGACGCTTACGTTAGGGCAGGAAGTACCGTTGAATCGGAAAGGTTGGCACGGAGTCGGGTGTTCTCTATTCTCTTCACTACATCCTCGATGCTCTTGAAAGCTTCCCAAACCGCTCGTATTCTTCTGCTCAGCTCTGGAGCTAAGTCGTTCATCATATTGATTTCCCGACCTTGATAGATATAAGTGAAGCATTTGGAGATATTCGTTCCGTTGAGCGTGAATGGAGCAAATGAAACCAATCCGTTCTTCATGAACATCGTTTTCGTGAGATTTAGTCGAAGACCAATCTTTCCACAGGCTTTATCAAAGTCATCAAGCATACGCTCCGCCTGGCTAATGTTTGGTGTTATAAGGACGTCGTCATCAGCAAAGCGAAGATGATGTAACTGCCAACCATCAATTTTCACTCCCATATTATCCCATTCCAATGTTCGCATGACGTTCTGGATGGTGGCGGTAAATAATTTTGACGAGATGGTACCGCCTTGCCTAACTCCTCTTTTGACGTCAATGTTGAGATATCGTTGTGAAATGGTGATATCTTGGTTGTGAGATTTTTGTACAGCTCATGAAGAATCTTCATGTACTGAGTAGGAACTCCTTGATTATCAAGGGCTTCCATGACTGCTTCCATCTCAAGTGAATCAAAGACCTTTTGTAAATCGATGAAAGTGAGACAGAGCGGTCTTCTGTACTCCCGCGATACTTCAATGAGCTGTGTTACCGTGTGGATGTGGTCTATCGTACTCAATCCTTTTCGAAAACCTGCTTGTTCACATAGCTGTCCTTCGTCTAGTGTTCTGTCAATCCTGTTTAGGAATGGACTCGAGTGAAAAGTTTGTTGACGACAGACAGTAAGCAGATTGGGCGATAGCTGCCGATATCGTGCAGGTCACCCTTCTTGAACAATACCACGGTCTTGCTGGTCTTCCACTGAGTAGGGACCTTGCATCCAGACAGGTAACATAAAGAGCCGAGCNAGAGCCGAGCCAATGTGTTTACGAGGACTGGTGGAAGGTTCTTCAGGTGTTCTGAACTTATCCTGTCCGGACTAGGTGCTGTTCGATTTTTCACCGACGAAATGGCATGTCGGATTTCGGAAAGGAGAACCGGTGGTACAACATATCCATCCTCCTTTATTTCATATGAAGGAAGGTGGACGTGGCTGTCGAAGAGATGCGAGTAGTATTTGTGAATGATTTTCTCCTTTACCTTCCTGAACGCTGTAACTGTTCTGTCTGGGCGCTGGAGAGCAATCATTTTGGTCATGTAATTGACGAAGCTTCGGTGGGCTTTGCGAATGCTTTTCCCAGCCTCTGCACCTTCGACTATTCCTGCTGCTCTTTTCTCTAAGATCTTCTTTTATCGCCTCTCTGCATTGCTTTGCAAGTTCGGACGTTAGTTCGCGGTTGCCTGCAGCTCGTGCGATTCCACGCTGGCGTCTCAGCTCGAGTGTTTCTGGAGACAAACGTCTCTTGGTGACTTTCGAACCCTGAGCTTTCTTAGTCCTAGCGTGAAGTTGCTGAATGAGCCGATCGTATTCTTCGTCGATGTTATCGACAAAGGCATCTTCCCAACAGCCGCCTAATGAATTGAATAAATCCCAGTTTACGGTGGTTTTGGGACTTCGGTTTTGGAATTTAGCGGCTTTTTCTCCATTACGCGAGAAATAGAATCTTGCTTGAAGGAGACGATGGTCTGATCCAGCGTAGAATTTTGAAACAAAAGCGACATCAGTTAGGCAAAACCTTCTATTTACTATGATATGGTCTATTTCGTTATGGTACTCTCCAATGGGTGACTCCCACGTTCAGCACTGAGGGTGGGGCTTCTGGAATTGCGAGTTACCACGAATTGTCTTGGTCGCCATGATAAACTCAGATAGCCGCTCACCCTGTTCGTTCCATTCTAATCCGTTGGTCCCAATGTGACGTTTTTCAGATGTTCTTGTTGGTCCAATCTTGGCGTTGAAATCTCCAATGATAACCTTGAAGAATGTGTGGTCTTCTGTGTAGAACCTCTCCAAGTCCATATAGAACGCTTCGACTTCTTCTTCGTCATAGTTTGATGTCGGCGCGTAAGCGACGAAGATTACCAAAGCCGGTATTGATCCACGCCTTTTTAATCGTAAACGTCCCATTAGGGTTGTAAGTTGTTCGAATGAATCGACGTTCATGGACAAATTCGTGTTGACGAGAACGACGACGCCACCGACTCCTCCACTGTCGCATGTTCCGAGGATCAGTTCTTCTCCGGTGTCATAGAGGACTTTGAAAGCTGGCGTCTTCTCGTCTCGGCCAGGCCGATGATGTCGTAGCTTATCCTTCTTGCAGGTATAAGCAAGTCTTCTACCGAGAACTTGGATACAAATGTACGTGCATTGTAGGTACACATCGTCACCATGGTTGTTTAAAATCCAGGCAGCTTCCATTGGCTCTGAGATTTTAGCAGGCTCTCCGTACTCGTCCTATCCAACGCTGCGATATTGGGAGTCTTTCGGGATGAGAGGAATGAGGCCCGTTTTTTTCTTTACTGTGTTTAGCATTTTTGATACCCACGTATAGCTTGCTGGGCTTTGAACGTGGAGGCTGGGTATACTCACGGGTAGCTTGCGAGGCTCTCCCGGAGTGGACATGGGGCTATTTGTTGGAGGCGACTTCTAACCGTCTCTCATATGCTTCCCACTCACTTGATTGCAGGCTTTTGGCTCTATTAACTCGTAGAACACAATTCGCACAAACTTAAGCGCACCCACACACGCGTGCATGAATACGCCTAGTAAATACAGAAAGTATGTGACAAATCGGCGCAGCTGAAACAGCGAGTTCATATCTTCGATCCACCTGCGTCTCAGGGAAGCAAAGGTCGCTTTTGGTGCGCGATTAACCCCCTATCCGCCAGCTGGAGACGCGCCACGTAGCCTCGCGAGTAACCGGCCCGAGATTCCTCATATGAGGGAGATTCGTGGGAAGCAAGATGGGTACAATGATCAATTATACCGGGACTTGGCGGATCAGGGGCGCTTGAATCGATTCCATGTGTATTTCAGGGTTCCCTCCGATCGCTGCACTATACGCGTCCCCTGAACAGGTACCACTGTCAATTCATGCGGCATCCACTTGTCGAGCTTTTGTGACTTTCCAGTTTGCTTCCAGTGCTTCGAGACGACTGAGATTATTTAAAAAGTTGCTCCTGCACGAGGTCAACATCGCAGTATAGTTACTTTTTGATGCCAGAGCTGTCTTTTTCTGGTTGCCGTAGGTTATAGATACTGATCCCACATTCAGTCAAAGTATTTCTGTGTTGCTCCTTGGAGTGGCATGGTTATTATATTTTAAAACGAGCTGTCAATTTTTGGACTTGTTAATTCGGCCATTTACCAAAACAGTTCCGCCGACATGGTGCTACGAGAAAGCAACCATGATGAGCTCGAGTTTACTCCTATACAAAAACACCCGTCCACATGTGGAATTTGTCAGTACTTAGAGTGGTTGCTTGACAGACGGCTCCATGTACTTTCTATACTCAGAGAACTGGATCGAGCTATTTTTATTTTCCAGAGCTCTGAGAAATTTTTTACCAGGTGTCATTAAGAATTTTTCAACTTCGACGACCTCAGTTTTATAATCTATTCACTTCCACAATTTCGTATTCCACATATGGTTTTATCCCAAATCTAACGCTTTTGTTGCAAACAGGTTTTGCAAGAAATTGTGATAAGGACGTAAACACTCACTTGAGCGTTACTGCCTCCAATTCGATAAATATGATGTCGAACAGGCAGCATCTTTTCAACTGCCTCGTCGTACTGCCCTCGACCGTAGAGTAACATCCCCTCATACAACGCAGTGCCCACCTCTCGCGATATTTTTGCGTTGTCGACATCGTAGTTGCTAAAAATTTTGTGATATTATGAGAATCACTTATAGGCATTCTTACAAAACCTCAACTTGTGAAAACACTGCCTTACTTGGAGAAATCTAGAAGACTTTTGTAGAGGTGCGTCTCGTCAGCTGTGTCTCCACGCCTTAGAAGCGCTGGGCCTAAACCGACGATTAGTTACATCAATTTTATCAGTACTGGTTGCTTTACTAAAGCGAATTAATCCTCGAATACAAGTGTTTTATTCATTTTTGCGAAAATTTTATAATTCACAGCTGACGTCTAGCTATATGAACTTTTAGCGCTCAATTTTTCCGGCACATCGCTACAGAAGTAGAGGACCAATCCACAAGAAACGCTAAGATTCCGGAAAAACTGCTTTAGGCAACTATCAATTTATGCGTATATTCATGCTCAGTTCTGATTCATCACTTATCTAAATGTGTGTCGTTGAAGGAGGTAACGTGATCATCGAGGTGTGCTTTCATACATGGAAGATCATGCCATCTGGAAAAGCGGTTATTCCAGAATTGATCTAAAGTGACGATAGCGACTTTGATAATAAATAGACATTCAATGCATATGTCTCGGAAAATCACAGGGAAACAGCAAGGTCACACCTTTTCCCAACATCGACTCCTTCCAATTCTAATCGCCACAGTATAGATGATGCATCGACAAAATCCAATAATGATCCACTCTTCTTGGCACGTTCACAGATTTCACTGGAAGCTAGCACGCTCTTTCATAAAACTTTGTAGTAAGTCTATTTAGAAGCCTGTGTGAAAAGCATACTATACATCGTGCAGAAGATTAACTCCTGTTTACTCTCGACAACTTGGTGAGCATCCATAAAATTTCACACAATTCATGAACTACCAATTCCGACGGATTATATCGTATGAGTGTTTTAAGTAAATGACCAACACTGTTTTATAGAAGAAAACTTCACCATCTGCGCTAGTGATAATTTTTTCAGTTATTAATTAAATAGTAACTTTTGAATTTTGTAGAAACGGCTGTCCAGTGGTTGCCGACGTAATGTTTGGTTACTTCTATTACGTCTATCTAGCAATGTTTTCACGCACCTACGTAAAATTAGAGATTTATAAAAGATAGTAAGATTTTGGAAAATTCATACGCCTAATTTATGGAAAGGGAAAAATTATCTTTGAAATGTGTTACAAAAACAGCGATTAGTGAGTTATCAAATCGAGTTGTTCATTCATAAGTAAACGAATACGAATAGAGGAATGAAAATTATCCAGGTATAAGTACAAGGATGCTGAGATATGAGCAAAACCCGGAGTCTCAGTAAGACTTCGAACCCGTGATTACCTTTTCCGGGGTTCATGAGCTATCCACTACACCCACCGATAAAAGGATAAACGCGGGTTCGAAGACCAGGAAAAATTTCGAGTTTTGCTCATATCCCAGCATCCGTGTAGTTGCATTTCACAAATAAGTTGCCGTGAAAAAAGTACTGGCAGTACAAAAAGATTAAACAATGTTCAGCTATTATGAAATGCTGAAATATTTGCAAAACTCCGAACCGCAGGTGTATGCAGTGTGGAACGAACACGCGCTGTTGTCCTTACAGGGGAGCAGCGCACTTCACCACCACACCATCCGGGTCCTTCGTTTTGCCTGTCTCTCAGCTAGTTCTATCGATCTTTTTGCTATTAGCAATCACCCGTCAACGGGATTGATCTGGGGAGCCAAAATCGGCATTGAACGCAGTTTAGGGTGATTGCTGATAGCAAAAAGATCGATAGAACTAGCTGAGAGACAGGCAAAACGAAGGACCCGGATGGTGTGGTGGTGAAGTGCGCTGCTCCCCTGTAAGGACAACAGCGCGTGTTCGTTACCCACTGCATACACCTGTGGTCCGGAGTTTTGCAAATATCTCAGCATTTCATACGAGTTATATTTCGCAACATACCCTGCCATTAAAAAGAAAAAGGCAGTAAATAAAAGGGTTAAGAATGTTCAGCTACATTATAAAAAGTTCTTCATTGGGCAAGAGATTAGCGATGAAACCCCGGAAATGAATATTGGGAAAAGTGATATATGCATCTCTCTGCCCATCTACTTATTGGTTAATGATACTCACTCCACGTTGTGTCCCAAAATAAAATAAGACAAAAAAATAATAGTGCGTCCGTTCACCACCGCAGACACATGCGGTCCGGAAATTTGCAAACATCTCAGCATCATTGAAGTTATATTTCGCAAAATACCCTGCCATTAAGAGGATTAGGCAGTAAACAATAAGTTAAAATCAAAATAAGAGATTTCAAACAATACTTGTCGAAGATAGTCAAGACCACTTCGTAGTCTCCCCTCTCGACATAATACAACGCAGTATGCCAGTAGTTATGCGTGGCGATTAACCAACCGGGCTGCAAAATCTCCCATCTTTGTGTTTGAAAATACAGATGAAAACTCCATCTGTATAAGAAAAGATTAGACTTAGTGTCCATGTTAAAACTCACCCTCCAGTAGTCAACAGTGCTTTCCATAAAATGAATGCCTTCGTTGATCCGACCTTGCATCTCCATCACGTGTGCTCTGGCATGAGTTGCCCATGCATCGAATCGGTTAAGACTCAGTGCCTAAGAATGAGTGACATTGTCAACAGCTTCTACTGTTGGAAAAGCCTTGTTTCGAGTGATTCTTGGTACGGATGTACAGAACATCTTCGAAGAAAGGTAATCACTGTTACTATTATTTTCTAAAAAGCGAAGATATTTCACGACCGCCTTTCCGAGTCTTTCCTAACTGTTCCAGGGCAGCGAAATCACCCTCGCGTGTTTAGCGTTAAGTAACGTTACATAGGACACTACATGGCAAAAAAGAAATGACAAAGATTCTTCTCTTTTTCGCACTGCACCCATTCGTGCCACACAGTATCGTTTTTTCACTATAACAAAATGTTCAAACATTACCTTCATTGCCTCCTTTTCAGCTTGATCATACTGTTCGCATTCTTCAAGTCCAAACGCCAACATTCCATGGAGATAACTAAACGCCATGAAATTTTGTAAATTCATAAGGACGATATGGTGGCAATAACTAATTAATGCCTCCCAATGGTTTAAAGCCTCATCGTGGCTGGGAGGTGTTCCTGGGTGTCGGGCTGCGATCTACAGCGGGGGTATGCATTCCCCAGTAGGGTCTTCCATGCCCAGATGGAGTTTTACGTTTCCATCAGGAAGCCCAGCTAAGAGTGAAGCAATCGTACGATCCACCACCGTTCTGGTATCAAATTAGTCGCATGGTTGCAAATCTCCCTCTGATCCACAAGGGCGGCGAATGGCTATGGTGGTGACGACCTGGGCAGACTTTTGCTTGGCTGACCTCGGTACTCCAAGGAACCATAATGGCTAAATCAGCAAAACTCTGAAAAAATGGAAAATATGCTGGAGCCCACACAACTAGTGAGGACGGGCCATCCAAGTATTCAAGTATCCAACTAGTTAATGACCATCTCCAATGAGTTTTTAGCATAACCAGATATACACACTGCTAAGAGGTAGACTTGCACCGAATTTCATTGCGAAGAATTTATGTTGGTAAGCTAATGTCACCATGAAGTTCTAGAAATATCATTTTCCGCGGCCAAAGTATACATATTCCAGATCTTTTCCAGACCCAAAGACTCTCATTGGATCTTTAAACAGTAGGAGCTAAAAATTAAGGGCATTGAACTATTTGCTTAAACTGAATTTTACATCCAATTTGTACTGAAAGTGTAACGGTAAGTTTTGGAGAAAAATAGTTTGATCACATCTATCAAATAGCAGAGAGTCAGGATTAGGCAACGACGACAAATATGGACAGAACGTCAGCTAATTTGACGTCCATCATACGGTAGTCAATGCCAGTTCGTACCTATAACACGGTTCACTGCTTTTCTGCTTTCCAATGACCATCTGAACGGAGTCACGTTTTCCTTTTGCATCGCCCATGAAAAAGTATGCGTCGTGAGCGAATTTAATTGCCATCAAATCAGTAGGATAATAGGCAAGAATCTGCTCCCACGTATTCGTGGCTTCCTTCATTTTCCTGGAATCGTTGTAAAATTTCACAAGTGATCGCTGAGAACGAAGATTATTTTATAGTTGCTTATTTCGAAAATAACTTTAAGAAGGCATTGTAGTCACCGATGCTTTGACTAGCCTAAGGCCATAGCTCTAAAAAAAGCTCTCGGTGTTGATCATTCCTGAGGGATGCATCATGCATTCGACTTCATTAAGTATCGTTTGGAGGTGATTGGAAGCATATCAAGCCTATACAGTGACTCACGGTGGCCTACCGATGTATCGAGCCAGTGCTGCTATCCTTCCAGACAAGTCTAGTACAAATTTGCCGACCCCGGAGAGATGGAAGGCTTGGTGGGCCAGGAGCGATCGGATCGATCCCATATGCGTGTATTACAGGGAACCTCCGACCACTGTGCCATGAGCACCCTTACCAAAGGCCAAATATAGGAAAATTAACGACTATTAGTAACATGTGTTTTAATTAACTACATACAAAGAAGGATAACTAGAACTGAAAACGAATAGAACAAACGCGTTAATTTCGAGTGCAAATAATCCGAGCAATTAGAACATTCTATCACACTCTGTCCACAGTTGTTATGCTTCAGCCAAGATTCATAGCTTGGCTTTCATAGCCTAAAACTCACCCCTCACCCCATAACAGAACGGCTTTCGCATGTTGCTGTTCTCTGTCGTTAGCGTAGCTCTCAGCATCAACTTGCAACTGTTCGAGTTCCGCTTTGTAAACGTTATTTACTCGAGTACAAGTGCCGGTACTGAGACCTTCCAAACCGAGAAGAAATGCTCGTGGAAGCACTGAAAACATTAGGCGGACTAAACAAAGAACTTGATTCATTGCGTCAGTCACCTGAACATCTAGAGGTACATTACTATCTGAGTTTTAAGACAGATATGTAGCACACAAATCAGCAGTCGTAGAAATTTTTGCTCGACATGTCTGTTCCATATACAAAATAATAACCCCTGTGGAATTTACTTTCCATTGTTCTTTTCTACCGAGCTGAATTATTAATCAGCTACTATTTTACTACCGCTCACTATAGATTATCTAACAGCTTCTATTCTTCGAAAATATGTTAAGAAACGAAGCTAGGGAAGGTTGCGGATGAAAGTTTTTGATATACCGTTCTAGACTTAACGACACTGAACCTGCTTTAGAGTCTGCAACTTTCATATCCTCCAAGGTCTTGTGCAGGCCTCCTAGAGCATCGCAATCCGACCAGGAGACGAGTTGGCGCAAGGCGCCATCGAACAACTTGGCGCATTCGTCAGACGGCGTGGACAAGCTCAGACCGCATGAACGCCATCCCTAAGCATACCTTTCATTGCTCGCATCTGGGCTTGTGTGGAACTAAACTATTATAGACTTTCGGCTAAGTCACACGCAATGATGACCTTCATTTTTCGCTTCATTTGTGACTTCATGAAATGAAAGCATGCTGTTTCAGAAAACTCACAAGTATTGTTTTCATATGAATTTCACCTCTAGCAATGCTTAGAATTCAAAATGCTAATCGATAGAGTTGCTGACCAACTACGGCGGAAACATCTGCTGACTTTTGACTCCAACTGAAAATCACTATGTAGCAACTTTGTCGGCGTGGGTATGGCCATGTGCTAAGTAATCTTTCCGTTGCCGCCCATGACGTTCTAGTGCTCTTTCCAAACAAAACAAACACTCGATTCAAATTCGCTAACAACAGAAATGGGCGCGTCGATGTGGTACTCGACAGTTACGCAGTAGGCAGCACAGAAGAATCTTATCAAACAAAAAATGGATACAACATATGAATAAGTTTAACGCAGAAACTAAGTCTCTATAGGTTATTTTGTTCTTATAAACTATCCTTCTTGACTTTTAGATTATTCAGCTTAAATGAAGTTCCTGTAAGACTTTTACTCGGTCTTTTATTAGCCGAATGAAAGTTTTGTAACAACTTGGCGTAAGCCGAACAATCTAAAAGTATATTGATTATTCATGCCGAGATTAAATAAAACCCTGCTTACAAAAGTTCTTTCATCAGGTGGACACGAAGCTGTTAACGTGCATTTTTGATCTTCGTTTTTCCATAAGTCATACAAATGTCCTCCCAACGGTTTAGCGCTTCATCGTAGCTGGGATGTGTTGCTGGGTGTCGGGGTGTGATGCACTGAGGGGAGATTCTTCCACCTGGTAAGGTCTCCCAAGCTGAGAAGGAGTCCGGCGTTTCCATCACAAGTCCAGCTAAGAGTAACTAATACCAGGACCCACCACCAACCTGCTATGAAACTAGTCGCATGGTGGCAAATCTCCCTCTGATTCATAAGGGCAGCAACCGCCTGTGGTGGTGACGACCTGGGCAGACTTTGGCCAACCTGACCTTCGGACTACAGGGAATCACAATGGCTAGATCAGCCCACAAAACCAGTGAAGACGGACCATCCAAGTATCCAAGTAAGATATATACGCTGTTCAGCTGAGATGCTAGGTTCATGATTTTCTCAGATTCCTTACAAAAGGAGTGCGCCTCTGATGAAAATCAGAACGCGGGAACACTTGAAAATCAAAAACAGGTGAACAACGTCACATTACCTAAACATGGAGAGTTCTTAAGAACAAAATAACTTGTTCGTTAACTCTCGATATTCTTATTAAGCAAACATGCTTTGTTTACTAATGCCGAGATTGAGTGAAAGTCTATCATTCGAAGTTTCTACCTCCAAATTGCGGAGATTTTCTGCACACCATGCTGCCATATGTCCTAATAGAACAAGCCTTAAAAAAATGAATTGATTAATCTCTCCAGTTTAAGGGACAAATATTTTGCCTTATTCTATCTATTGATAGATGAATTTTGATACTCGAAGCCAAAGACCACTTCAGCAGTTTCGCGATGAAGCCGCTTCTTCGATAACTGATGACTGTTTCTCCAACAATGATGTATCGCAGGGGTTCAGAACAGATTTACAGACAAACTTTAGCTTTATGCCTTAATGGAGTATATGACTTTATACAGTGGCCATTTAAATTTCAATACGTTTTGAAACAGGGTTATCAAAAAATCGATAATGAGGTCTAGAAATCTCAACATTTCTAAGGCAAGAGCGGTAGCTGCAAGCATGGACGAACAAACGAACATTGGAGAACACCACTGTGCTCTAATGGAGAAATTCCGTTCGCTCACCTGCTTTAGTGTTCTAAATATAAACCTAGAAGCACTAAAGATAAGAAACTAAGCCTAAGACTAAGCCAAAGAATCAGAATTTTACCCCAGTAAAACAACGGCACCTTCATCTTGTATGCAAAGCTGTGCAGATTTCAACGATTATTATTCCAATCAATAGAATTCAATATAAGCCGAAATATGCCGATTTAAAGTCTAAAGTGGCCTTTTGGCATCGTACAACTCCTACTGAGGTCACATCGCAGAGGTGTTAAAAAAACGAAGTGAAGGATGAAAAATCGATAAGACGATGTGGCCTGAAGGCTGGCAAATGTAAAATTGTGACAATCGGAATGAAACGAAAGAAAATCACACTGCTAAAACCAAGTTATGCTTAAGCTCACTCGCTAAAAGTCACGACATTGGGAGGAAAGAGAAATTATCAAGAATCGGCTCTCTGTCAATGTTGCTGGTGACCCCTAGACCATGGCATCAGAGTGGGTGCTGATGAGGAGGCTTAAAATATGGATGAAAACTGAAATAGCGATAATCTCGCACATGTGTCGCGCTATGAAGCGGTTGAAGCGTAAGGAGAAAGAGGGAAAGGATGACAACATTAATAACAACCAGACATAGTTGAAAGGAATGCACGACTCAATAACCAGATAAGAAACACGACTTTACGGCTTCCTTTCGCTCCATCTCTTTAAATTCCCTTTGCGACTTCAACTTAAACGTGGTGAATTCTAAGTAGAAAAAAGGCAGCTGCTCATTCGGAAGTTGTCCCGGGTTCTCGCCAACTCAGCTACCAGCGTTACCAATCACCGCCAGTTACACAGAAATCGATTGTGAACATGCGACACTTAGATCACGGCAGTATTCCCAGGACAAAAATCAGCCACTGTTCTTGATAAAGCGATCAAAAAAAGTAGCTACGAAGCGTTTATCACGAAGTCTGGATTGTAGTTGGATGATGTGGCTGTTGTATGAGTAGCATTTGGATAACGACAGCCATACCAAACCTTTTCCTAAAGGTCGCGTTCTTCAAGATGCTTTGAACTTAAGCCTTTGGAATGATCTGCATTGTGAAGGGAAACATGTTTCGATGTAATGGAAATTTTTCGAGACAATCCGATTACTGTTCTAATTGCTGACTAAAGGCATGGAACCCATATGATTTCAGACTTCTCATTCAGAATTGTACTCTCGAACATTCCCGAAGTCCCCACTCCAAGATCAAATGAGCAGCTGTGTTCAGAATACCGCTCTAGTAAACAATGCGTTATCGAGTCTCATGAATCATAAAAATGACTTATACTTGCCAAGTGGATAGTGGCTATCTAATATTATGGCGAACAAGGTTAGTTTTTGATCCTATCGGCGACAAGGGCTCTTAGCAATGAATGACTAGTTCTCGGTAGACAATGATGAAAGTCTGAAATGGCTCACAGATGGTTCTTTGAGCCGGTATATCCTCAGTGGGAACTGAATAATATTGGGAAACATCAGTTGTTCTGAACATCAGACGTTGAGAATAAACAGAGAAGCGCAGCATCACATCGTCTTCGATGAATCTTGTGGATAGATGGTACACACAAATTCCAAGTGATCAAATATCCTGCAAACCTGTTTACGATCGTTCCATAGGTGGTAGTTTAATGCGCATATTTCACGAGATTAGTTCACACAATAACACCCAGAAACCCTTTAGTATCATTAAATAGACCATTTTGGTGTTTGTACGTTGGAGAAAATGGCGTTGTGATAGGATAACTGGTTCTGGGCAGGCCAAATTGGTTCTCAATCAATCCCGTTGGCGGGTGATTGCTGACTGATGGCGCCGATCGATAGAACTAGCTGAGAGACAGGCGAAACGAAGGACCCCCACGGTGTGGTGGTGAACGCGTTACTCCCCGAAAGGGACAATAGCGCGTTCGTTTCCCACCGCAGACACCTACGGTCCGGAGTTTTGTAAATATCAGCATTATAGTACTTACATTTTACATCGTTTGCTTTCGGAACTCTAGGAAAGGACACGTTGGACAAATCGAAGTTTATTCGTTCTAATGATTGTTCTTGCTCAGCGCGTCAAGATAGCATCCTATAACCCTCTGCTCCAGTTACTATCAAGAATCGAAAACCTAACAAAACGGTGGGAGGACTGTTGAATTAATAAATGAGACCGCAGTGTTTGATCCGCTGTCTGGTCCGCGGTTAGTCTGAGTGGCCCACACGCAGTACATGTTGTTCTCATTGTTCTGCATGTTAACCTCTATGTTAACCGAACGTGTACGGATCACCTATTAACTACGTGGTCTTTATGGTGAAACAACGTTTAACTATTTAATCATCTTGCACCAAGGATATTTGATGAATTGGCTTCTGTTCAGATTTCTGCTCAGACATGTCTTTTTCCCACCCTATTGACCACATTTGTCATTGTGTCTGTTTCACGGGTGGCTTTCGAAAATATGTTGACGTGGACAGGAAAATAACGATTTCGTTTTCCATCAGTGCTTGTGCCCTTCATACCCCAATCAGCTGACCTTGTTTTTCATCGCATGGCGACAGTAAACACTCTTCGCGAGATCATGTCGCCTCGTCGCGCCCATTTTCCTAGACGGATGGTATGATATTGATAAAAAGTCTGTATGCAGTCAGTTAGAGTTCTAATGCAGAAGGAGTGAACAAAGGTTAGGAGAAACGGCAGACCGTGTGCCCGTAAGACTTCTGTGAGCTTGGACGTGGTTTTGATGAATGCAGTAAAATTCATTGCTGAATCGCGTTTGCTGAACTAATTGTGCTTCATGTTAAGCGTTGATATGTGGTATGGAAAAATCTTCGCGAGTTGCTTGCAGAGTATGCTCAACAGCAGAGTCGTGTCATAGTTATATATAGGATAAGCAGCGGGCTCATGGGCTTATTGTAATTACATTGCAATGTGATTACAATTAGGACACATTTTATACGGTGGAGTCATATATTTTCAAGTGGGTCATCATATTGAATCGGAGCATGTTTAGTTATTATGGGTGGCTGAGATTTGTTCAATAAACGCAGACTTATTTACTGTAGCGAAATTGCAGATAAGGACATACCCATATTCAGTAGCCTCAGGAGATAAGGATGAGTTTTTTCGAAATTCCAATATATTCCAATGTGTTCTATTTAAAACTGCGAAGCTCATTGCAAACAGAAAACTATTGCTTTCAAAATTTTTTTGCGTAGGACGATCATACGCGGGATCCTCTAGTGCTGTGGTTTTCTTATCACGTAGGATTTTACACTGGTTAGAAAAAGCACTTGTTATTTGTGGTTTTCAGGTTGAGGGTTATCTTGTAATAGATATGTGTTCCATTTCGTGCATCCGATGGAAACTCAAACCTTTCCCAGAAGGAAATCGGTGTCTGAGAATGGAAATGTGGGCAGAAAAGTATACTAGGTCTTCATGATTAATTTCAAATAATAGTTGGGTATGTTAATAAGCCCACCTTTATTTATAAGGGCTGATAAAAGGGCATTATATTCGTGCAGATCTCGATGGAATTTCGTTGGATTACTGTGCTAAACCGACTTTGCCTTAACCTCGACGTGAATAGCCAGTAAATTCACTGGATTTTTCAGCTTACACGAGGTTGTTACACAACTTTTATTGGGCTAGCATTTCGACTTTTTTAGTCTTCCTCAGTTCTGATGATCCGAGTTGAAGTCCACAGTCGTTCGTCTTCTCTGTGTGGTGTCTTCGTCGTCATATCGAGTTGGATCTTCTTCATTGGAGCACCGCTCAAATATGGGAGCCTCATTCGCCAGCACTCTTATACAGGGCGGCTACTAACCGATTGTCGGCTGATAATGATTTCTTTTCACGCCGACAATCCATCCAGCAGTGGTCCGTATTAGGTAGTTAGCACTATTAGTGACTTTGTGCTTCAGCTTACACGACGTTGTGCTCGCCAGATCATTTACGTTGACGGATGATTGCTAATTGCATAGATAGGCTTAGAAAACGGTTGAGGGAAGGCAAAGGAACGGACTTGGTTGGTCGCGTGTATAACTCGTGAGCCCCCTGTAAAGGTTACCGCAAACTTGAAGCCCAGCTGAGATTCATAGTTTGCTCATATCTCAGCGTGTTGTTGAATGGAGTTCGCTATCGGGATCAGTTTAAAAACATTAAAGAAAAATTTGATTAAGATCTACACAAATATAATGCCTATTTAACGGTCCTGTTGATAAAAAGCAACATTGTTTGCATTCGACTTCATTAAGCATAGTAAGAGACAGAAAGAAGTGTTTGATATGTATATCTAGCCAATATAAAGGCTTGCGTTGGCCTATCGATGTATCGACTCAGCGCTGCTATCCTCCCAAAGAGGTCTTTTAACAATTCGCCGAATGCCGATTGCCGATTTGTGCTTCTCAGATCAATCCCGATGACGGGCCAATGCTAATGGCACTGTTAGGTAGAAAACTAGCTGAAAGTTCGCAAAGCGAGGGCCTCAGTGGTGCAGTGTGTAATACGTGAGCTCCCGGAAAAGGTAATCGTGCTTCGGTCTGGACCACGGTCCAAGTTTTGCGAATATCCCAGTATCGTTGTGGCTGTGGGTTGATATTCACTATTTGTCTTATATTTGACACTTGATATATAGTATTTTTATTTATTTGCACTCCATATTTGACATTCAATGCATACGAAGTTTTTCGTTGCAGAGAGTCTCTCTGCCCAACTTTAGAATTGTACCATTGCATCATCATACAGGTATGTATAAGCACATGAGGATTCCTTGACCACCGAATGGAAAGCGTAAATTCCTCATGAATACTTAACTGCATCGTTAACGGAAGCCGCACCTGGTAGTGAAATAATTGCACTCCTATTGCATGGTATGAAGAAAGTTTTATATAGCAGAAGAACTCTGCTTTCCATGAATTACGTTTCTTCCTCAAAACAACTACACCCTTAAATTTATCCCAATAATTTGACGCCTGAGTTTGATCTCAGAATTCTTCCCTATAGTGAAGCAGACCTCTAATACCTGTATATTATTCAAGAACTCCCAATTAGCCGACGTTGCAGCACAGACAGGCTAATGGTACACGGATAGTCCGATACTGACACGACCTCTGCTTCCTGCCGAGAAACTAACACTTCGATGAAAACTCTCCATTGCAATCCATCAAGACAATTTAGTGTAGTGGTCCAAATCCATCCACAAGCATCGAACTAATTATTTTAGCCACTATCTAGTTATTCAAATTCGTACAACGACCACCGATTAGTTCCTACACAAAGTATCGAAATTCGATGTGAAATAAGAGGTTTGCATATACAAGAGAACCTCCCAAACTCAGAAAATTTGATATTTCGATCGCCAAGGCCGAGTAAGAGTAAATTAGTGGCAAAAATTACCGTCACTCTGGCAGCAACTTAGTTCTTAAATGAAAACCTTCTTTTCGTCCATAAAGACTGCTAGATACGTGTAGTTTCGATTGCAAAAAAATCCGGCAAGCCTGCACGTGGTCTCCAAGGGACAAGAAATAACTCGACTAGCCAAACTAGTAAATCTCATCACCACGACTTTACAGTTGGCGGATTACTGTTGCTGTTTTATGTGCTGAGCAACAAACTGTCTCCATGGGGCAACGTGGTTGTGTTGCTCTAATCCAGCACCATGATTGCCTGATATTTGATCATCTGTCCGCTGTTTTCCTTTCGCCCGACGTCGTAGGCGAGAACGCCTAGTATTCCGTTTTGTTCTGATCTAAAGCAGTCTTCAGTTCCTTAGTTTGCTTGCGCAATCCAAGCATTACTGGCAGAACGATCTCGTAGCACGTGGAGCGATGTACAATCAACATTGGAATTACAGGAAAGTGAAATTATGTAAAGTTTAGTATCGTAGTAGAATGGTAATATGTCGGCTGTCAAATTTTTATTCAGTTCATCAAGAATGTTCATATACTGAGTAGGTGATCGCTGGCTGTTCGACACTGCCATGAACGTTTCTATTACAGCTGAGAAATAAGCTTTCCTTAAATCTATGATAGTGAGACAAAGCGGGCTTATATACTCCGGCGATATATCAATGACTTGTTATTGTGTGGATGTGATCCATCGTGCTGAATCCTTTTCGAAACCCTGCTTGTTCACATCGCTCTCCTTTGTTCAGTGCTCTGTCAGCCCTCATTAAGATGACTCGCGAAGAGTTTGTAGACGACAAACAGCAAGCAGATTGGGGATAGTTGTCGATATCGTGGAGGCTGTTCTTCTTAAACGATAGCACGGTTTTGCTAATATTCCACTTGCGTTGAGGCATGTAACGTACGTATAACCGAGTCAGTGTGTCTATGATCGGAAGATCCTTCAGATGTTTAAATTTTATCCTTTTCGGACCTGATGTTGTTCGGTTCTTCACCGACGAAACCGCATGACGGATTTCCGAAAAATGCAGAATCGCTTTTACGACACATTCGTCGTTCTTTATTTTGAATGAGGAGAAGAAAGACGTAGCAATGGAAGAGATGAGAATAGCAGTCGGGAATGATTTTCTCCATTGCCTTTCTAGAAGCTGTAACGCTTTCGTCTGGGAGTCGGGTGCAATACTCTTGGCTTTGTAATTGGTGAAGGGCTGATGGATTTTGCGAATGCCTTTTCAACCTCTATAGCATCGACTATAAGTGTTGCTTTCTTTTTAAGATCTTTTTGTATCTCTTATCTGCACCATTTTGCACGTTTGGCCGTATGTTGGCGGTTGCTTATAGATTGTGGGAAATGTTGCAAGGCGATGGTCCTATCTCGTGTAGAATGTTGAAACAACAGGGACGTGGGTTAGGAAAACACTCGAGTTACTATTATGTGGTCTATTTCGTTATGATGCTCTTCAGTGGTTTTCTTCCCCATCCATCGTTGAGGGTGGCACTTCTGGAATTGCGAGTTACCATGACTGGTTTTGGTCGTCATGGTAAACCCAGACAGCAGCTAATCCTGCTCGTCCCATTCTAATCTGTGGATGCCAATGTTCTTCAGACGTTTTTCTTGGTCCATCTTTACCGTTAAAATCTCCAATGATGACGTTGGAGAATGTATGGTCTTCTCTGCAGAACTTCTCCAAACCCATGTAGATCCCTTGCACTTCGTCTTCGCCAAAGCTTGATGTCGGTGCATTAGCGACAAAGATTGTCAAAGCCGGTATTGTTCCACATGTCTTCAATCGTCCATTTCTGTTGATCAATGCGTGGCTTTGCATTTCAAGTTCCTTGTGCATGTCGTTGATTTGCTGGACGTTCTCCTTCGTCGTAACCGGTCAACCTGGATTGAGGAGGACGTGATATATTAAACCAACTATAAACTAGCAAACGTCCTGCGTGACCTTTTAGTGCACTTTCGGCTTAGAAAAGCCTCATTTCGGTTCAACTATTGAGCGATTTTTCGTTGAACGTCACAATATGGTGGAGAAAATTGCCGTCCAGGTTCTGTAGAAAAACTACGGATCAAGCCTCAAAACAGCAAGTTCTTCGACGGTGGCTCGATTCGTGCGGTATCCATTTATCGACTCTCCTCTGGTTTTCAATTTTTTGAAGGTTTGAAAAGATTTGCGATGGTTACATCGATTCTTCTGTAAGTTCTGGAACAGTTGCACGTGCATTTGCTTGCAGCAGAGCGCTCAATTTAGTATTCTCAATAGTAACAGGATGCCCGCAACCTTCCTCACCTTGGCAGTCGAATTCGCTACGAAGGAATTTTCCAAACCTGCGTTGCCCAATGCATTCGATAGCACTTTCTTGACCGTATACCCCATTAATATTGCGAGCGGTTTGTTTGCAATACGTTTGAGTTTGAATTAGTAGAAGTAGCTGATTTCGTGTTTTGACATCTGAATTTCTAACCTGGAAGAATTGTCAACAATGCAATCCATGATATTATTCAGTTAGAGCGATGGCCCTTTGAAAATGGTTTGTTTTTCTCCGGGCAATCCATTCTGTTGGCATAGTCATCAGCTCGCATGGAGCGCAACAATATTTCAATAACTGACTTTTCTTTAATCTACCCACGGGTAATCAATATCAGCAGTTGCCCTGTAACTACTGAGTGAGTCCACTTTATAATCGACTCGGACCAGTGTGCTTGTGAAAAAGGCGAAGGCTTCGAAAGGTTAGCCGAATAAAGCTTTTTATCAACTACGTGTTAGCTGATCAATGGGAAAAAAGGCACATGTTGATTAGTCATACTGAGGCTAAAGGGAAATTGTTTTTTGAAGTATAAATCCGACATTAATTCCTCAGAAACCTAACAGAAACGGCTTTCAACAGGATAAGTCGCGTTGACCAAAACGCCAATGATAGCAAGACCGTTTACCCAAAGCGCCAATAATAACTCACCCGAAGAAAAAAAACGAAGAGAACGTGCGCAAATGATATCGTTCAGACGAGGTTTGCAACTTTTGCACGTGGTGGGTGACGCAGTAACGTTGTTCATTGCAAGCATGGCGCTGGTTCTGTCACGCATTTGGCTCATCAAGCCTCTAATTCCTCCGCGGTTGAGAAATATATGGCGAACCCGTTTGGAATTCTTGCACGGCTATGACAGGAATCGAGAGCAAATCTACTAAACCAGCTTTAAACAACATTCATAAAGAAGAGGAAAAAACGCAAGGAGCAGTTGAACTCACACAGAATAAGTTAGATGGCCTCATGAATTACGGTTTCGAGCAAGCAAATCGAATGAGAGAACTGCTGGTACCAAATAATAAGTGGTGCCAAGCCATGTATTAGAAGTTTTAATTCTCTAGTTGTAACAAATTTTTTACATCACTGCTATGAGAAAGAAAAGCAGTAATTCCCATGACCACATGGCCATCGCCTATGTATTACTCTGTGCGGCGGCTATCCATCAACTAACTTAAATACTTACAACAAATAAACGGCTCTGAAGAAGGCGAAACCGCCGAAACGTCAGCTATTGTATTCTAATAAATTCTATATTAACAACCTCGTGTCTGCTTATTGAAGAAAGACATTGAAAAGCAGTAATGTTCCTCACAAAGCGAAGTGCCTCGTTAGGCCCTCAATAATGATTTGAATTCTCAAGGCCGACTTTCTCTTAAATTCCGGATTGATGAGTAGAGCGATATCTTCCTGACTAGCACACACGAAGTTTGATATATCATTTACACACAGCAGCTGACGCTTTGGTGGAATTCGCCTTCTTCAGAGTGTGAAAAACTTAAGTTAACCGCAATCTTGTCGGTCAAACACTTTCATAACCTTAACAGAAAAAGCACGTTACCTAATTTTCAATCACATTAGCACAATGCGGCGACTACTTTGGATGGTGGAGGCCTAAGAAAGGCTTCAGTTTTCTGAACCAGGGACTCCAGGAAACCACAATGGACAAATCAGCAAATCTCCGGAGAATGGAAATCTGCAAGGGTGACCACCACCAGTATGGACGACCAGAACGTAGCAATATTTCGAAAACCGACTTTTCTTTAACCTCGGAATCATAATCAGCATGTTTTCTTTCATTAATAAGTAAACACAAGGTTTAAAAAAAAGCGTTGCCGATTGAGAATACTTCACTCAAGCGGTGCTCCACTGAATCCGACTCAATGCGATCACGAAGCCATGCATCGGAAGAACGAACAACTGTGAATAATCGACTCGGATCAATCGGGCTTTGAGGAAGGCGAAGGCGTTGAAAAGTTAGCCGAATGAAGTTCTGTTTTTGTGAACTTCGCATTAGATCATCAGTTAAAGATTACGCATTGATTACTCGTGCTGTGGTTAAAGGAAATACTTTTGAAATATTAAAATGTTAAATTTGGAGTTAGTCCCAAATAAGTGTAAGTATAACACTTGCACGGACTGTCGATCTCATTAACTGAACTGGCAGGTGTTACCACTGAATTGATGGGGAATTAGACGATCCAAGTCGGAAGGTGAGGGCGCGTGTGGCGCAGTTGTCGGAGGCGTCCAGCAACACACACGTGGAATCGATTCCTTCGCCCATGGCCCACCAAGCGATCCATTCCTCCGAGGTCGGTAAATTGGTACCGGACTTGTCTGGGAAGATAGAGCACTGGCTCGATACATCGGTAGGCCACCGCGAGTCATAGTAAAGGCCAGATATGCATTCAATCACCTCCAACGGTGCTTAGTGAAGTCGAAAGCATGGCGCATCCCTTAGGGATTGGTCAATGCCGAAAACTTTATCATTTATTTTTTCTAAGTTGGAAGGTCAGATTAAATATTATTGGAGAGAGGACGAAAACTTATACTTGGCAGATTTGATTGGGAGATTTTAAAAATTTCGCTTCAAATTTTTTATTGTTTTTGTTTACAGCGATTTTAAAATTGAAAGAGTATTTTATAAGAGCTAACGCGACGGATCAAATTTTTTTGGAAGCCTACAAATTTCTCAACTCGTATAATGCTGAGATATTTGCAAAGCATCGGAGCGCAGGTGTCTGCGGTGGGGAACTCTCCTTTCCGGGGAGTAACGCGTCCACCGCCACACCACGTGGGCCCTTCGTTTCGCCTGCCTCTCAGCTAGTTCTATCGATCTTTTGCCATCCGCAATCACCCGTCAACGAAATTGGTTGAGAACCGATTTAGGCTGCCAGATCAATCCCGTTGTCGAGTGATTGCTGATGGCAAAAGATCGATAGAACTAGCTGAGAGACAGGCGAAACGAAGGACCAGCATGGTGTGGTGATGAACGCGTTACTCCCCGGAAAGGACAATAGCACGTTCGTTCCGCACCGCAGACACCTGCGGTCCGGAGATTTATAAATATTTCAGAATCATAGTAGTTATACTTTGCAAATACCCTGCCGTTGAAAAGAATAGGCAGTAAATAAGAGGTTAAGGTCTCTGAACTCCTCCACTACTCTATTAATGGAGAAATTACACGGTCTGCTGTCGAAAACCGGCTTCCACTTCAATGTGTTCATGAACAATTAGTGTCTCTTAATCGAGACATTAGTTTTCATCTTTTGGTCTATTACTAGGAAATTGTGCAATTTTTGAAGCTAATAACGGCCCAAAAATCTTTTTTCAATGCGAAGATAAAGGTCAAGTCAGATTTTTGAGGGTCAAACGTCGTACCTGCTTGCTTAATGACGCGCAACAAGGTGACGGCTTCCCGTTACGGTTCAACGCCTTAAACACAAAGAATGAAAATTATTGCAGAACAACAGGATTTCGTGGTTGTAATGCGTAAAAAGTGCTCAAAAAAAATAGTTTAAAGTGGCAAAGTGTTAGCCGTCCAAAATGGGGCACTTGAACCCAGGAAAAGCGTAATCACGGGTTCGAAGCCCAATTGAGGTTCCGAGTTTGCTTATATCTCAGCATTCGTGTGGTGATATTTCACATCATACCCTGCTACGAAGAAGTAGTATGCAATAACCAAAAGGTAAGAATAAATGGAAGTATTCAGTGAAAACAAGAAGTTACCCGTAGGTTTTACCTCAGACAAACCAAGCCGAGTAGTGGCAGTTACTTCTTCAACATAGTTTTTTTAAGTTCTTATATAGTTTTTTTCTAGATAAAGAAAGAAAAAAAACGTCAGAAGTAAATATGAAGGGAGTTGAGTAATTTGTACGCTTATTCTAGACAACAGAAATGAGCAAAAGCCCTAACTCTAACTTCACCATAATTCATTCACGCAACACCTAACGTCACGCCGGCCGTGTTCACTAGAATTGATAGCGATTTCATACTTCTGTTTTTAAAAGCTGGATTGTTCCAGCAAATTCCTTTCTTTCCAGCTGCGTTTTACCCTTGCAGGGTCTTCGTGAATTTATCTGATATTGTCATTGTCATACGCGTAGCCGCTCACTTGGCAACATAATTCATCCGTCAAGTATGGTTTTGGACTATCTTCTTAACGAAGCAATCAATAATGCCGACAGTAATTCATACATAACACCTGCATTCATAAGCCCGAAGTTTAGTAGATTCAGTTTGGCGCAGGAAGAACCATAGAATAAGCATATGAGTGGGGAAGTGGGAAATTTCTCTCCTTCACTACCTCTTACACTTCTATTTATCAGAAACAGAACATGATGACAGTTTTTCTCTTCGTGAACGGTTCTTGTTAGACATAACTGGTTTCTAACTGGTTTTTATAGATAAAATCTAGTAACCTTTTGTCATTGCAAAACATGATATAAATTAAGAATTCGCTTTCGATGGCCGTATTCCAAGAAGGTCAAATTATTCACTTTCGAAAGAAAGGTTTTAGTTTGATCAAGGTAAAAAGCTC